GCTCATTAATAAATTAATGGTATAAATAGAAGATCTACCTATTTTAGAAATTTCCGTGAGAGGACTTGAAATCATTGGTCCAATACCATAACCAACAACGAATAAACTTAATGGCAACGAAGATTGAACGGTGGTAACACCAAACTCTTTTTTCAAATCAGCAGCAATTGGAGTGAAAATTGAAGCAGCAAGGTATTGGCAAATAGTATTAAACCCAATTAAAATACAGACTACTGCCTTTTCGCTTACAGTCCAATTATAAGGATTTTCAGCATCATTATCGGAGTCCCATGTGGCAATATACTTGTAAGTTACCGGGGAATGATCTAGTTTTTCATCATCATTGCATATTGCATCATGGTTATTGGCAATTGTAGAGTTAGACAGTGAGCACGAAGTTGGTAGATATTTTTCTGGTACCGAATAATTTGGATCTTCTTCAGGATACGAGAAAAACAGGTGTTGAGTAGTTTTGTATATGATTCTTCCTAACGTGCTATCCCTGACCAATCTTTTCAATATCATAACTTAGCCCTTATCATAAAGTTGGACCATTCAAGGGAAAAGCAAGTGCTTAAGTATTTTAGAAGAACGAATTTTTTTTTTTTGAAACAAGACAATAAATTGCTGCAATTCTTTAATTACTGATCAAACATCCGATAATGTATACAAGGGTAAACGAAAGAATGTTTAGAAGAACGGTTAGCCTTGAAGCATTGAACGAGAGCATTTAGAGAAAAGGTCGGTCGGGTCTTCGGACCGGATTTGAATAGAAAACCGATTTAGAATTTTATACAATAGTCGTAATAGAGGTTTAAGCTATAGTATTAGTAATCTCTCTACGGTAGACGTTTGTTCAGGAGGACTTGCTGTTGGAGCAAGATGTTGTATACGAGGGTAAACGACGGATGATAAGCCAGGATTTTACAAGAGGAATTCATACAAGAACCAGCTCGGTCGGGAATGCGGACCGAAGGAGAATAAGTACATAAAATTAAATGGATTTGACAATTTATACGAATATACACTAGTCATCTCTTAAAGCTTCCTGAAGAGCCATGGTATTAGTGATTTCTCTTGATTGGTTAATATCAGTTCTTCCGGTAGAATTTTCAGAGATGGGTTCGAGAGGTTGTTGTTGATGATTTGCAGTTGGAGCATGAGCAATTTTTTCAATTGCATCAGAAGAAGGCATAAAAATAACCCTAGTACCGGGATTTTTAGACATATTTTGAAGAGCATCCAAGTATCTAATTTGAAGAGCGGCTGGAGACGACAAGATGTCGGAAGCCTTTCTCATTTGTCTTGCAGCATCGGTTTCAGCCTTAGCCATAATGATTTTAGCTTCACCAATACGTTTTGATTCAGAAGCTTTAGAAAGCGATTGTTGAACTGATTGGGGCAATTGTAAATCTTTAATTAAGATAGATTCGATATTAACCCCCCAATCAAAGGCAGTTTTAGAAATGATCTGTTCAATTGATTCAGCAATTTCTTCTCTTTTTTCTAAAACATCTTGTAAAATACGATTACCAATAACATCTCTTAAAGTGGTTTGAGTTCTTTCAATAACCGCAGAATGAATATCATCGATTGAGAAAATCGCCTTTTGAGGATCAATAATATTATAATATGCCACACTAGTTATAACAACACTAACGTTATCTCGAGTATAACATGATTGTGCGGGTATTTCTCTGATATTTGTTTTGATATTAACTTTAATCAATTGTTCAGACCAAGTGTTAACGTAATTAAGACCAGGTTCTAAACACTTACTCAATTTACCAAAAGTTAAGACTAAACCAACATCACCTTCTCTAACTTCTTTATATGGATTCGAACAAAGACAACAGAAAGTACCCCAACCACCGAAAAACTTCCCACACGATTCTAATATCTTTTGATAAGTGTTTGCATGAGGAACTGGATACGTTTGAGCAAAATTTTGTGAAACAAATCTAGGATCGGTCTTTAATGGAGGTTCCTTTTTAATCGCATCCGAGTCACTAGATTGGGTGCGTTCTAATTGTTTTTTATAATTCGCCTGATCAATTTCTTCGCCAGCGGACATGTTGAATAATAACTAGTAATTTAATTATAATTAAATTAATTAAAATAACTAGATTAAGTAAAATAATGTGAGGATTACCCCAGACATTTATACAATATCGTAAGAATCAGGAACGGGTCTCGAAAGGCTGGAAAATATCAGATAAGATTAACCTAAATACGAAAAGTGAATTCCTTGACCAATCACACAAGGTTATGCCGACCAAGACGTCATATAAGAAGTAGAGTCTCTTATTCTATTGTTTAAATGGACCCATGTCTTGGTTGTATTGCGGCAGGATCATTCAGTTTTTGTATTGGCGAGCATTCGCTTTCGCCGTACTGGCCGACTTTGGGGTACTAAATCTCGTATTAGTCATGTATCCTTGACACTAGTGGCTTTGATGTTGACGTTGATAGTGATAGTGGTGGTGATAGTAGCGGTGATAGTGGTGGTGGCAGGGGTGGTGTTGATGATAGTGTTGATGATCCTAGTCACGGAGGTTTTATTTTTAGCACGTATACAGTCTTTATTGTAGGACGTATGATATTTGTATCGGGGTATCGTAGGACGTATGATACGTGTATCGGTGTAGCGTAGGCTTATGGTATGTATATGTAGACATGTCCTAAGTATATCGTACTAGTGAATGTAGTGTATCGTATACTGACATTGTATAATAGGCTAGTCCATCTTGTATTAGGTAGGCTTACTGCGAGACACAAATCCGGTCTTGATTCTTTCAGCCTTCATGGACCACCAACGATCCTTTAGTTGAAATGTGCAGCCCATTCAGTTAAATAGGGAATTCTCTCTCAGTTAAATAGGTGATTCACCTTCAGTAGCTTGGTGAATCACCCTCAGCAATTGGTGAATCTCCAATGAAATTATGTGATTCACCAAATGCGATACTGAATGGATGCAAATTACAGACTATATAAATGGGCGAATGCTAATGGAAATGCAGATTCAAATCACTAAACAACAATGTCTACTACTTACTTTATCACTGGTGCTAACAGAGGCATTGGATTCGCAATTGTGAATTCATTAGCTGAGAATCTCAATAACAAAGTTATTGCAACTGTTCGTGATAAGTCAAAAGCAGTTGATTTGCTCAAACTTGCAGAGCAAAATTCCAATATTCATATCATTGAAGTTGATGTTGGCGACTCGAAGTCAATTGATACTTTGGATGATCAAATTCAACCAATCACTAGTCAAATTGATATTTTCATTTCCAACGCTGCTATGGGGACCATTATTTCTAAAGTTTTAGAAATCCCTGAACACGAATGGCTAAATCACTATAAAGTCAACACTCTTGGTCCAATTTTGGTTTTAAAGAAACTATATAAATACTTGATCAAAAGTGATATTAAAAAAATTGCCATTATCTCTTCATTAGCCGGTTCTTTCCAAGCTCCAATTAACACAAATTTTAATCCTTATGGTCAAACCAAATGTGCTCTCAATTTTGCTGCTTATAATTTAGCTTCTGAGTTAAAGCCCGAAGGTTTTATTGTTTTGGCGATTCACCCTGGAACCGTTCTGACCGAAACTGCTCTTAAAACTTTTGACATATTCGATGCCAGAAATCCCCAAATTGGGGGAGCATTGAGATCAATGGCAATCACTCCAGAAGAAAGTGCTACCAGCGTATTAAAAATCATTAACAAAGCCACCGATGAAATCAATGGTAAATTCATCAATTTCGATGGTACCAATCTAGCTTATTGAAGTATATACATGTGACTTTCTCTATTGTCTAAACAATACATACTCCTTCTATTTTACTGTATTTTGAATCGTTTTTTGCTGTATTCAACGGGTGCGCACATGGATTTGGTTTTAAAATTTTCAATGAGATATCAATTACTTCTTTTTTTATAATTGAAAAGGATAATTACTTGAAAGAAGAGAGAATTAGTAAAAGGAAAATGGGTATTTTCATTCCGACAAATAAATTACCGAATCTTAAGAAATATAAGTATTCTTCAGAAGATCATTCGCTCATTTCTAAAATAATCTTGAAAAAATGGTGGAATTCATTTGTTAAGATTTTCCCATTATCAATGGCCCCAAACGTGGTCACGTTATTAGGATTGGTGTTTATTCTTTTCAATTTAGTGGCTGTCTTTTATTATGATCCATACTTGAATTCAGACTCTCCTCGTTGGTGCTATTTTTTCTACGCGTTTGGCTTGTTCATGTATCAAACTTTTGATGGTTGTGATGGTTGTCATGCAAGAAGAACAGGTCAAAGTGGTCCATTGGGTGAATTGTTCGATCATTCAATCGATGCCATAAATACTACTTTAGGTACCTTGGTTTTTGCTTCGGTTTTCCAATTAGGTTATTCTGGTTACTTGATGATTGCTCAATTTGCTTCGGTTTGCAATTTTTATACTTCAACTTGGGAAGAATATCATACTCATACTTTATTCTTATCTTCTTTTAGTGGGCCAGTCGAAGGTATTTTAATGATTGTTACTTTATATATAATCACGGGGATTTTTGGACCAGGAATCTGGCACGCTAAATTATTCCAATTAGATTTATCCTCTCTTGGTTTTAATGATCCAGTTGACGTTGATTCTTCAGTGTTTTACATCGTTGTTGGTCTCAGTTCATTATACTTCAACATCATCACTGCAATGGGTAATGTCAGTAAGAAATATGAATTATTAGAAAAATCTTCTAATACTACAAATGTCCCCACTTCCGCTTCCACTAACGATGATGCTTCCGCAAAAGATAATTCCGATCTTGCTTTCAAAGGATTGATTCCTTTCTTTGCCTACTATGCTACCATTGTCTTATTTATTTGGGTCTATCCAGAAGTCCTTTCTGTTCACGCTTTGGCCTTGGTTGTCTCAATTGGCTTTACAATTGCCTTTTCAGTTGGCCGTATAATCTTGGCCCACTTGACTTTACAAAAATTCCCTTACATTCAATTCCCAATGTTTACTCCCTTAGCTCAATTAATTGTATCTAAAATTTTAATTGATTTTTTCGGTTATGATTATAATTCAGTCTTGGGTGCAATTAGTTGGTTAGGTGTTGGGGTTACTTTGGGGATCCATGGTACTTTCGTTGCTGAAATCATCACTGAAATTACTACTTATTTAGACATTTATGCTTTATCTATTAAACATAAAAAAGCATGAACCTTTTTATTTATAGAGTCATAGATTAAAGCTCTATGTTGTTTTACACACTCGCACACACATATATATATACATATACATATATATTATACAGTATAGTAATCGTATGTATTGAACGAACGAGTTGAGAGGATAAAGGAAGATAACCTTCCTTTGGAAAAAATGTTGTTGGCTGGGATTTTAATATTTTCAGACTCAACAAGTCTATATATACAAGAAAAGAATGAAAGGAATGAAAAGCAAAGAAAGTAATACTTCAAAAACATAAAACGTATTGACATCATCTTAGAAAACCTAAGAGCACAAGAATAGAAAAAATCATTAGATGAATATTCTTTATTATTTGATTTCAGCTTCTTTAAGCCTTCTTTTCATCTTTGTTTTCAGTACCTGGAGCCAAAACATCTTGAGCTGATTGTTGTAAAGTAAATTGTTTTTCCATTTCCTTCATTTGTGCTTCAGCTTGAATTGCTAAAATTGCTGGAACACCCAATAAAAGAACTGAGGAAGTTATGATCCATAAGTAACTACCAGATGCATTAATTCCAGATTTGATTGAAGAAGCAAAGTTGCTCAAGGAATTTCTTTGATTTGGTGGGATGATATCCTTTAATGCAACAATTCTTTCGTAAATAGTTTCATTTTCATCAAAATCATCATCAAAATCAGAATCACTTTCGCTATCTGATTCTTCGGCTTGGGTTTCCTTGGCTGGAGCGGCACCAGAAGCGTTGGCTGGTTGTTCTTGGAATGAAGATTCGTCTTCGACTTGAGATAATTTAACCATTGTGATTACTTATGTATGTATCCTGGTAAGTTCTTCAACTCTAATCTTCCAAAGCGATTTTTTTCGTTCGAAGCAAATTGTCAATGCTTCATTAAATTTTTTTCCCAGTTTTTTTTTTTTTTTTTTTTTTTTTTTTTTTTTTTTTTTCGTTTTGGTGACGGCGAAATAAATCCAGCGTTCTACACGACCTTTGGGTGTTGCACTACAAATAGAGTCTTTATAGGTATATTGATGTAGATTAGATTAGATTAATACCAATCTTCATGGTTTAAGTCAAGGATAGGGATATCATCGGATGAAACTTGGTAGCCTAAGCTTTGCATTTGGTCAGGGTACTTTCTCATGTTGTAGAACTGTAGCAAAGATCTCAAGGCGATTTCTTGATCAAATGAGTTATTGAAGTCACTTTCTAAATCCCGTCCACTTAACCAATTATCCTTTAAGGATAATTTAAGATTGAGGTAGATTAGAGAAATGAGATCCATATTGATCGACTTCCATTTTCTTCCTTGGTATGGGATCAATTTCTTTAGGATTTTCAAGATTGGAATCTTCAAATGGTCGTTATCGTAGTTGAGTAGGATGATTTTAAAGTATTCTGAAGGTTTGGATTCATTCAAGATGAAGGTTCTCTGAGAGACGTTTTTGATTAATATTTTATTGGCGACGTTAAGAAGATTTGTAAGGATGAAGCAGAAACTTTTATTTGCTTTGGTGATGGTAACATTATTGATATTATGTTCGTCGACCTCATTAGGTAGTTTTGATAACGGAATCTTATTAATCAATTCATATCCTCCATTGTAACTTAACTCGTGACAATTATGGAAGAATTCGAGTTTTGGTAATGTAATTTCTGGATTCATTAATTTATTTTGACAAATTAATGTTTCGTATTCTGAAAGTGAATCTGATTCATTAGCATCTTTTGAGTCTTTTGGTCTTCTTAAGTTTGTGTTATTGATACTTATGCTAATAAATTCCATCAAAACATTGAAATATTGCTGGTCGAATAGAAGTGAGTTTAAATAATAAAATTTTAAAACGTGATTGATCTTAAACCATTTAAGTAATAAATTTAATATTGCAGAACTTGCCTTCAATGTAATTTCTTTGATTTTTTGAACTTCCAATTGCTGCATTATAACAAATTGAATTTTAGCTATTGATTCATCTTTGGTTAAATTATCATTTACCATTTGGTTTATACATGAAGTCTCAGGATTTAATTCCATTTCTGCAAAATTAAGGTTATAATCATACTTATTTGATTTTATTGTTTCCATTAATACTTGAATCAATGAATTGAAACGGCAAATATTCGTTTTATAGAAAGATTCCACTCTCAACAAAGACTTGATCTCGGATTTATATTCAGGATATTCATTTAATAAAGTTTCATCATACTCAAATTCTTCATTTGATTTTTCGTTGTTATTTTCTAAATATTCATTAACGTTTCCTCGTTCTTGGATCATAAATTTTTGTCTTTCATCCCATAATCTTTTGATGGAATAACTCTCATATATTGAATTTTTCAAAATTTCATCTGCTTCTTTAATTGAATATGGTACTTGGACCTCACCATTTTCTCCAGAATGTGGGTAAATAAGTGGCATACCTTGATTAACATGATACAGTTTTCTTATCTTCTCACCTCCTGACATGTAGTCAGAAGGCGTAGTGGGAGGCGATGGAACTGGTGTTGCAATATGTACTGTTTGGACAGGTAATTGACTAAGAACGGTATGCACTTTATTTGGTCTTGGTAACTCCAATAAATTTGACAATGAATTAGATTGTGAATTCATAGCCATGAAATAATCATAATTGGTATCAATACTCGAGTTTGACTTGGTGGATACAGAATCAGATTCAGTATCTTTTTGCGAAGCCAGATTAATTGCATTTTCAAATTCTTTGAATTTAAAAGGTGACTTACTTTTATCATCGTTATAAAGTGGGTATTTATCCATCAAGTCTTCTCTAAATGTGAAATAATCTAGCGGAGAGCATGTTAACTTGGAGCTGGGTATATCTTTACCTTTTTTATTCTTTATATTGTGCTTCATGAGTAAGAAATCATCAGTTTTTGACATTTGAGAAGAATCACCCATTTCAATTAAAATCAATTTCCAAGTTATCAAGAAAAGATATCTTATTCTATAGTTTGTATTAGGATTCCATTTCCAATGTTCAATGAATTCAATGATGCTAGATAGTATATCATTGGATATGAGATTATCCCTTAAGTTTTGAAAGCGGACATCCGATTGGCACTGAAGAAACGTATTTAATATGAAATAGAAGAGCGTTAATATCTTGAAGTAATTAGAAGCGATAGAATATGGAACTTCCTCGGGATCTTCTTGAGATTCCTCGTAATCGTTGCTTTCTTCACTTTCCAGGACAATATCGTATTCGTTATCGATCGCAATACGAGAATCAATGAAGCTTTTCATCCATTGAAGAATTGGTTTTAATATGTCCAAGTCATATAGCACTTTATTATGGTGACTGATATTCTTTAGTTGTCCCTCCAAGTCGGTCGACTTATATGAGCCAAATGAGTAATACAAAAGTAAGTCAAGTGCATCACTTAGTTCTTCATTTCCCAAAGAGTCACTAGTAGAACCGTGTTCTAAAGTTGTTACACTTGATTTTAAAATCTCAATTACTTTTTCATTAATCAGACGATCATCGTGTGATCGCTTTTCAATTTCATTTTGAAATGCTTCTGGTAGGTATCCAAGCCCAGATAACGTAGCAAAATCATTAAATGCAAACCATTCACTCAATTCTTTTTGTAAATCTTCAAAATCTTTATATTCATACTGCAAATGAGTCTTAGTGATTAAAAATTGTAAACCAATGGCATTTGATCCCGGTGGTCCATATCCAGATACATTGCCTTCACTAGTGCCACCATTTGCCCCGGCATCAAACTGGCTACTAGAATTGGCAAACTGTTCTGCTCGTTCATTCAATCGTTTTTGAAAAGTTTCATCTATCGATGATTCATTCAAGGCTTTTTTGGTATCGGCATCGGGATGATCAATGATTTGATCCTCTAGCTGGTCAATCAGATTTGGCTCACTCTCCATGATCAGTTTCTCCTAGTATCCTCGATCTCCTAATACTTCACCAATGGTATAATCAATTAGTTGATTTAGTTGATTTACTTCTTTATTAGTGTTGTGCGTGTTATTTGGAGTTTTTGTATACAGGTGACACCATAACCTCAATCCCATTAATTTTTTCCTCCTTCTGATTCACAGAAAACAGCACAGTTCATTTGATTTCTACTACTGTTGACTGATTTTTACAATTAAACCCGCCTGGAAAAGACACAGGAATCCACTTTTGCATACATATTAGAAAGAAGGCATTTATAAACTGGAAAAAGAAAGGAAAAATAGTAAGAGCCATAGGAAATAGAATTGAAAAGCTGAAAAATCGATAAGAGTAGAAACGATTAAATAAAGCTTAAACACAATAAATATAGTCATAACAGAACTTAAACCCTTGATCGGACTCAAACATTGTCGATACTTCAACGGTGCTCATGAACCATTTGGATCAAATCAATAATTTAAAAGTGAAAATAACCACGTTGTTAGATGAATCTATAACTGGGGTTGTTTATGCCTGTTCGTCGTCTCATTCAGTATTAGCATTAAGAGTTAGCAGTAACACTGGGAAAAATATCCAGAACCAAAAGGCAGAGACGTATAGGTTTTTCAATGCTCAATTCATTAAGTCAATGCAACTAATATCTCCATCACCTAAAAAACAAGGTAAGAACACTAATCAAAACCTGGCACCTATATATCCGATATCGATCAAGGAAATTGAAGCAAAGTTGGAAAAGTCTCTTCAACCCCCTAATGGGAATCTGAAACAAGCCAGACCCAATGCTCCTCCTATAGCCATAAGATTATTTGAGACTTTTTCAAAGAAGTACGGCCTGAAAAATGTCCAGTGGAAAGGATCTGATATCATATTATTTAATGAAATCAAATCGTCTAAACCATATACTTTGAGCAAGGGTAATTTGACTGAGCTCACTAAGGGTTCAAAATATCTTCCAGATGTTCAAAAAACCTTAAAAGAGATATGGTTAGAGCTTGATAACGAAAAAAGAGGTGGTTAATTCCCTTCGTGTATAAATAGCATAAAATATATTAATGGCATCAAATAAATAGAACTTATATAGCAAACCAGCGATAAAAACGATCACTCTTTCAATTGAAAGACCCATGCGATTTCTATATTATCAAATACCTTAACGCCTCTCTGTTTGGTACCTTTGATCCCATCACACTGATCCCATTTTATCAAATGACTACCTTGAAGTTGATTATCGAATTCTGTAGTGGCAGTTTCAAAATACATGTTGAACCAATAATATATAAGACCATTGATGGTCATCTTCAAATCTTTTGAAGTTTTCAAGAAAGAAGTTTTGGGATAGACAGTGATGCAATTTTCCTTTTGATTAACCTCTCGTTTATGATGACTTTCAAGGTTGAAAAGATTTTTCAATTCAGCACCATCATCATAAGTAGGCGAATAACTAAAAAGCTTAAACTTAAGACTCATCAAGTAGTTCCATGAATTAGTAGTCAAGTTATTGAATTTGATATATTTTATAGAACCGATCGTATCATGAGAATCAAACCAATCATGACTTTCCCTAAATTTATTAGTTTCTTTTAAATATCGGTACCAGTAATTTAAATAACGTGTTTGAGATATAATAGATATCCCCTGGCCGGCAGAGGGCCTCATTCTCTTCTTAGTGAAAAGACCTATAATATTTTCAACAGTGGTTGTATCATCATTATTCAAATGACTGTTATAAATCAAATAAGCACACGCAATTGTACCTGAGCGACCTTTACCAGCTTTGCAGTGTAGCACGGCGATATTACCTTCGTGGGCCTTTAACCATTCGTCAATCTCTTGAACTGACTTCTTAATTATTTGGATTGTGGGAGCTTGGTGATCCGGAAACGGATGATGTCTAACATGGCCAGATAAATCAGAATCAGAATAACCAGCACCTTCGCCTCTGAAGTCCCATACACACCAACGTTCGCCATGACGGAAATGCAAAAATTTTACAAAATCATGTATCGGATAACGATAAAACAGTTTATAATAACTATTGACTGGACCTGAAGAAACAATTAGCTCAGGAGTAATGTAAGCTAAGTCCAATTGAATTTTTAACTGATCATCGTAATACGGGAGCTTTGGAAATGCAACAAATGATCTAACTAGGGCCTTCATTCGAAAGAATTAGATTACCGCTTGTTGGTTGCAAACAATGGCTTTCAAATGATTTTGCTTGTACTTGGACCCGAATTTTCGAAACGGTGAAACTTACTCAAAGACTAATCCTCTCTTTCTTTCAAAATCGCTGGTTCAAAGGGAGCCTCTTGGAAGAAGCTTGGTTTCAATAATGAAGAGAGTAGTATTTTTTTTTGTACACTTTCAACTGCGAAATGTATGCTACAAGAAACTTGATACTAGGGGAAACTATTGGTTGAAAAATGGAAAATATATACAAAAAATCATCAATACCAAGTGAGTTGAAGCAATCAAGTAGGAGGTTTTAGGTAAAATACAAATTTTGAATACACCACCTAATAGTTGATCAAACTACGAAGGTAAGGAAAAGATAGACACGATGGAAACATCATTAGAGAGAAAAAGAGATGAGGGTAAGGATAGCAGAATAAACAGAACTGATTAGTTTGAAAGAAGAAAAAGACAGAAATGGAATGAAATAAATAACCAATCAAGCATTTCAAAGTTTGAATATTCTTACATCTTTTTTGTTTTATTATGAGAAATCAGTTACTTTTTTAAGCAAATTGACTTCTTAACAATTCGTTGATTTTCTCCGATAAGTAAGGATCAGCTCTAATCTTTTTTTGCATTTTGGTGGCTTCAGCAAAAGAGGTAGCTTGAACTTTTTCTTCGAAAGTTCTAGCTAATTGGGCAGATTCTTCGAATAATTTGATTGCTTCATCAACATCTTCATTTTGTAATTTAATTTGTGCCAAGGTGGTTCTAGCAAATTCTGATTTTGGATCTAATTGGCAGGCTTCAATTAATAATTGTTCAGCTTCTGGGGATCTTTCACCGCCTTTAGAAAGAGCATAAGCTTTATTGATTAAAGGTAAGGCACCAACAGAGAAGACAGGTAAAGCAGCTTGTAATCTAGAAGCGGTATCAAATTGTTTACAAGCAAGATCCAATTGACCTTTATCAGTTAAGATTTCACCATAATAATTAGGAACTTCAGGAGAAGTTGGGAATTTAGATTTACAAGATTTAAATTTAGCTTCAGCATCTTCATGGTTACCTAATTTATAAGCAATACAAGCCAATTGAACATAAGCATAAACATTTTCTGGATTTAATTCGGTAGCCTTTTTGAAATTTTCTTCAGATTTTTGTAATTCATTAGACATATAATGTAATTGACCTAATTGATAATAAGCATCAGCAGAGTTTGGTTCGAGTCTTTTAGCTTCTTCGAAATCAGCAAGAGCTTGAGTGAAAGAAGCTTTATCGGCGTTAACCAAAGCTCTATAAACATAAGTTCTAGCTCTTGGTTTTAAAGCAATAGCTTTTTCAATTTCAATGGTAGCAGCGGTTGGGTCATTTCTCAAGAATTTGAAAGCAGAGGCATATTCTAAAGCAATAGAAGCTTTAGCAGCAGTTTCGGATACAGGATCTAAGTTGGTAATATCGTAAGCTTCAACAGCTTGATTAATCAAGGAATCAGCATTATCATAACCTTCTGGAGTGTTCAAGTTGATTTGAGCAATAGCATCAAATAAGAATTTATCAGCACCAGTACTTTCTTCGGAAATACCATGAGGATTAGTATCAGGAGTGAAAGCACCAAAGAAAGAACCAATAGTAGAAGCAGAAGGTAAATCGAAAGAACTACCATCCATCATTTTTTCAACGATATTAATTGATTTTTTCTTCAAAACACGTTCTAAAATACTTTCAACTGATTTATTATTGAAACCACCATCAATGGTAACAGCAGTTAAATCAAACATTGCTTCACCATATTTTTCTAATTTTTCATAAGAGGTTGCACGACGTAAAAGACATTTAGTGTAATCACGTTTTATATTAATTGCTGCAGTGGTATCTTCAATAACTTTTTCATGATCATCTAAAGCAGCATAACAAGCAGATCTATTTGAATAAAAAACTGGATCAACCTTAATTTTAAGAGCAGCAGTATAATAAGCAATGGCTTCATTATATTTCTTAGCCTTAAATTCAGTATTACCATCTTCTTTTAAAGCATTAGCCCAACTTTCTTTTTCTTTATCGGATAATTTTTCAACAATTTCATCACCAATATTTGGTAATCCATCTTCGCCAATTGGATATAATTTTTCACTACTTGAAGCAGCTGCTCCTTCATTACTAGCATCTTCGCCTGATTCACCAGCTGACTTCTTCTTATTCTTCTTACTCTTCTTCTTTTTCTTACTTGATCCATCACTAGATCCAGTGGCGTCACTAGAATCTCCACTCAAGCCTCTTTGTTGCTGTGCATAATAGTAGTATGCACCCACTGCAGAAACACCTGCCAATGCAGTCACGGCAATGAGAGTTTGGTTTCTAACAAAGAAGTTGTTAGAAGTTTTTTCTAATCCTGACATCCTGAAGGCAATAAAATCTCTCTTTTTTCAAATGATCCAAATAGAATAAACAATACCGGTAAAACAAAAAAAAATATCAATTATACCTATTTACACTCGAGACCTGTTGAATCAAATCAGCTATCTATCTAATTGATATCAGATATATTGAATCGAATAATCCAAAGAGATTAGTTATTAAAGTACCTTTTTCTCTTTTTCCTTTGTTCACTCCGGGAAAATTTAAACAATTTTTCACTGGCTCACTACTTTTTTTTTCTCATTTGAATTTTTCAACTTTTCGTTTTGGCACACGCAAAATCGGCTTTCACTTCCCTTTGGTGCAACGGTTGCAATTCTACACTTCAACTTACTATTACAAAACATTGGATCATATAAACCTATATATTGTGTTGGTGGTAGCGCGAGCGTGCTCGGTAGTGTTCGCTGTCGTCCTGGTAGGTGCTTTCTCTGAGGGCGTCGTCGTAGGTCGGGAGTTGGACCGAGTCGCTCCATTCGTTATCCTGGGAAGTCTGGGGGATGCTGTGGGTGCTGTTGGTGTTGGGTGTTACGACGGGGCGGGACGGGAAAGCTGGTGGGTGTTGTTGGTGTTGTTGTTCATGTTGCTGTTGATCTTGTTGCTGGTGGTAGTTTTGTAGCTGATCTTTTTCTGTTTGAGCACTAGAATAACCATTAACGTTGTTAGGAACGCTGGAAGTGCCACTCGAGACACTCGAGAGTCTTGTTTTCAGGGCGTTGTGGTGGAGATTACTGGTGAGATTCAAGCCGCTCAAGACTTTGATGTTCAGGCAGTTGATATCCACGTACTTCACTTTTTTCGTCATTTCTTCGCTTCCCTTGTTGAAGTCGGTAATTTTTTCACTCAGGAATCCGGCCAGAATGTTTAAAGTGTATTTCCTATCGATATTGCAAGTTCGGAAGCTTGGAGATAGGTGTCTTGGTAAAATGCTATTTTCATAATATTTGGCTGGGATTTCTAATTCATAAATTGCGTTTGATTCCCGTTGGGTGCTGGTAACCGATGAATTTAATGATTTCAGTTTGAGGGCGTTGAATAAGTCCAATTTCAAATTCTCATAGGTGTTGTTGCACACGTTAATAACGTCATCGTGTTTGGCTTCGTGGATTTCCCGGGTGCTTCCAGAATCATTTTCCAAAACAGAGATTGTGGTTGTGGATACTAGTTCTACAATAAGTTTCTGTAGGTACACCACCCCCAACCCATTTGAATCGTCAGGCTTACCGTACTGGGCCAACGAGTAGCGGCTTGGCTTGACGTTCGACACCAAGAATAGCTTGAATGATGGTGCCTTGGTGGGTATTAAGAATGCAGGATGCCGAAATCTGACCTCAAATGAAAATGGAACATCGTACATGTTAATTTCAGGAGCGTTATCTCTAGAAAACGGCGAGGATGGTTTGGAGCTCATTGGGGCACTATTACCAGTGGATGAACGAAACATACTCGAAAAAGTGCCCGATTTCTTTGGTTGAGGAGGTGGTCGATAATTATTTTGTTTGAATTGGATATCGGAACCGTTGTTGCTCTTGGAAGAAGGGATCTTCACCGCCACAATCGACGGGAGCCGGTCTTTAAAGATCAACTCTTTTCTAAAAAAAACCTCTCGATACTCTTCGAACTCGCCTCCCAAATGAATTGGTTGGTTATGGCTATCCAAATCCAATGGTAAGAATACAAATGGATCAAACGATCGTAAGTTTGCTTTTAAAAAAGATGCTCTTTTACAAGTAACCTTAACGTAATACTTGACACTGGCAAAGTCTCCCAAACTAAGCGAAGGTGGTAATTGACTGGTGATATGATATTGTTGTTCTTGGTGTGCCTGTGGATTTTGCTGCGATGACGGTACCCCAGCATAGTTCTGATAATAATTCTGGGCCATGTTTCTTAAAGTATTGGTATTGAAATTCCCATTATTAATAACTAAATCCATCTTTTTCATATTAAACAGTACTTTATTGGTGATTCCTTTCAATTGTGAACATGAACTGTTAAGTGGTACCTTAAACTCGAACGGATAGCTATAATTCCCCGGATTCAACGTGAACTCCTTTGCCTGTGACACTTTTCTCACATTCGACGGTGGGAATACAATCAACGTATCATAAAGTACTTTATGTACATCCTGCAAAAGTCGATCTTTTTCTCTCCCCTTTCTAGTCATGGTTGGCACATGGAGCTCGGTCTTGGTTATCCCTTCCAACTTGGCCTGGATATAACTGAGCAGAATCGAGGTAGTCACCGTCAATGTAATCGTTCCTCTGATAATATCATGATTGGTGAAGGTTCCGCCAGTTCCTGAACGGTCAATCTCAATCTTTACATCACAGCCGTTCCCCATTTTCCTCCATAGATTAGCTACTTGTGTTCCTTCTCGTCAAGCACTGGTTCCCTCCCCTTGTTTATAGGATACTGCCCTTGAAGCCTTATTTATAGGGTACTATCCTTGAACTTATCTTCAAAGCCTATTGAAGATAACAGAAGTTCAATTTTAAAAGTTTATGGTTGTTCCTGTACACAGCACATTTTTTTTTTTTTTTTTTCTGTCTGTTAAGCCATAGCTGGTAAACTTGCCATTGGCATTTGAGAAGTTTTATATATGAGCTTTTCCTTTTTTGCAAATGTTTCTTCGTTCAGGAATTCCATCGATCAATTCATTCAAGCAATCTGCCAATTGTCTTAGATCAGTCAATTATCGTTTGAATTCTACTTCTAGATTATCCCAGACTCGTTTTTTCGCAAATATGTCCCATCCATCAACTACTAAAATTGAAATTTTACAAGAAGGTGACGGTAAAACCTTTCCAAAACCAGGTGATTTAGTTACCATCCATTACATTGGTACTTTAGAAAACGGGAAGAAGTTTGATTCTTCTCGTGACAGAGGTAAGCCATTCCAAACCACCATTGGTGTTGGACAAGTTATCACTGGTTGGGACACTGGTATTCCAAAATTATCCCTTGGTACCAAGTCTCGTTTAACCATTCCAGGTCATGAAGCTTACGGTGAAAGAGGTTACCCAGGTTTGATTCCTCCAAATGCCACTTTGATTTTCGAAGTTGAATTGTTAGGTATCAATTAGATTGTATACACGGTTTATAGCTTTTTTTTGTTTTCTAAGTAATCTTTTGTTACGAGATTATTATGTGAATATGAAATAACCTGTTTTATTGTATTTAAATGTGTTGTAGTATTTAATGTATTATATATTCTTGTGCCAATATAACGTATTATTTTCAATTAGAACTTGTTCATTTACCGATAACGATGGTAGAGAAATCTTGTAATCAACGTCAAGGACCCGAAATTGAGGTAACCTAACCACCCGGATCTTCTCTGGCGATAGTTCAGGACATGAATATTGGGAATAAAAGTTCATTGCGTGCCTGGTAAATGGTAAAACTGCAAAAGGAGCTTGTTTTAATGGGGTTTCATTCCGCTCATCATCAAATTTCCAACTCACTTCTTCATCTTCAGCATTTTCAACCATTTGAGTTGAAAAAGTGAATATTCTAGGGGTTGGATTTTCAAGAACATACTTCAACTTGACCCGGTCCTCGGCATCCCCGTCCCGTTCAAGATCCATAAGAACTCTGGGATCTGATAACGGCAATACAATTTCCCAGTCTTCACTTTCGAATTCATTCACAGTATCTTGATTATTTTCTCGACACCATTTCACCAATGCGGTAACCACCAAACTAACATTACGGTGGGTCATACCGTGTTTGCTTCTAGTGGTAAAATATTGATTTATAACATACTCTTTTTTCTTTTGGGCTTCTTCAACTAGATCAATAATTAATCCAGGATTCTTGCTTTTAATTTGGAAAGAACACAGTATAATTTTCAATTTTTCATTCTTCTCCCTATCGTATGTACTGAAGTTATCGGCCAATTCTAATTTACCCATCCAGAATCTGGTTGCAATAGGCATTGAATGGTTTTGTTCTTGAGACGTCGGTGACTCCAGTAAAACAAATGGGTTTGGCATATCACTAATACCATTTCCAGATCTATACCTGGGACTAATTACAAATTTCGATTCAAATGGCTCGTTAATTATTGGGAAGGTATAACTTGCTGTATCATAAATGCTCATTTGATCATTTTCATAAGCATCATCATTTTTTGTATCTTCAATTCCTGAATAATGAACAATGGTCTTCAAATCAATAACAACCCGATACGAATTTTGCTGTATTTTGATACGGTTTTGAGGAGAGCAATGAATACTTAAGAAAAGTTTTTGACTTTTTGAGCCTCCTTCTTGATCCACTAATTCTTTCAAATTCAATACCTCGTCATCCTTCAAACTTTCCCAGTTATTTCTAAACGTCATCAAATCTCCAAGATCAGCATCTTTCCGATTACTAACAATACTAACCTTCAGGGATAAGAAAATTGATTCACATTCAAATTTGTGTTGTTTAGGACTGGTATAATTGATTGAAAATGGAAGAATAATCTTCTCCCCTAAGATGATCGAATTCAAATTATTAGCAGACATCGTTACAGAAACATCGGGTTTCAATGGTGAAATCTTTATGCAATGAGACAATGTATTCGAGAGCCTTATAGAGCTTGTCAATAAGTCATTGAGGCCGTGAACAGATTCGGAGCTATGAGGTATACTGTAAAAGTTCTTATGGTGTGAATACAAACTTCTTGTGTTTTCAATTTCATCAAAAACTAAGCGTTCAGTCTTATTCAAAGTTATGGTTCGTCCTTTACTAACAATTTCAATTGATGGAGTTAGCTTTATTGATTGTACCAGATACATTCCAGCTCGATCAGCTCGTTGGCTATATTGTATAACAATTGGATTCTGACTATCAAATTCCAAGCCTACCTTACCTTCCATGTTATTAGACTTTTTGTTAAACTCAATTTTGTTTTGAAGAATTTTGGGTCCATTCATACCTTTTGCATTATATAGAATAACGTCATTCAGAGAAATTGAATGTAAAACCTCAACACTGTTTATCTTTAACAGTATGCTCGAGATATCATCCTGGATCAAACTTCTTAAGACTTCCAAATTCACCTTGGGATTAAACACCAACTGGGTGGTGATATTGTCATAAACAAATGTTTCGTTATTCTTGGATCCTTCATCAACCAATAATACGTCAAGATCAAAGAAGTTAAATTTCCTGTCTTCAAGGTCAAGTTGCAAATTATCTTCTTTGAATGCATTCAACAAAGGGATAGGAGTAGCAATTACATATTTTGGTGATTTTGAAACTAAGGATAGACTTATTACTGTCGATAAAACACCTTTTGTATCTCCAATAACGAAGAAACAGTTCAAAAGTTTTTGATAAATAAGGGAAGAAAATTTAAACCAGGAGCCCAAAGCTGGAACGTTAGACTCAGAAGCATTTTCAACTAAAATGTCCTGATAAAATCTTATGGCATTTTCCATGTTATATTGTTCGTTTCCCAAGTTCATATATTCCTCTGCTACGAGCCAATTAATGTAATTAGTGAAGTTATGATACTCATTCTGATTCTCATCGCCATTGTTTGATTTTGAATCAGTTTCAATATACTTAAAAGCTTCTTTGGAGTGTTTCAATAGTTCAATCTTCCTTTTCGCTATCACAGATACATCGTCAACATATTCCAAGAACGAAAGTTGAGACTTAAACTTCGAAGTATTTGAAGAAAGTAAGCCCGCAGCCTTTAAATAGAGAAAACCGGGGTTAGTGAAAACATCAAAACGAAATTGATCTAAGAATTTTATACCTCCGTAAAATTCGATTAATTTCATATTTTTGGCTTTCTTTCTGAAGGTCTTTGAATGAACATTGAACATCAAAGATTTAGGAACCAAGCTCATCAATTCGGCAATCCACTGATATTGAATAGATAACCAGTTATTGTTGCTCTTTAAATTACGATCATATGATATGATATCAAGCACATTCGTAATATGAGCTTGATGCTTTCTAAGAGCTAAAGTTGGCTCTTCAATAGATAAGTAACCTCTCACAATGTGAAAAGCAAGAATGTCAATCAAATTGCGGATTTGCTTGAATAACTCAATGTCATGCTGAAATACTTCGTTGCTCGAGTAAAGTGTTCCTGCAATGTCCCTCAATAACAAAATAATATGCTCATAGGACAATTCAAGTAGTTTAATACTTGACTCTAAGTTATGAGGATATGTTAACTGATGGATCATTGCTTGTTTTATCATGTTACGAGTTTCAAGGAAGTCTGGAGTAAGTTCAATTGAAGTTTCAATATCTTTAGTTGAAGGACATGAATAGTATTTTTTATTTCGTTGTTTAATTTTGTATTCAATACCCGAGTAAAAATCGGTGGCTGCATTCTTTAAATTCGATAATAAACTGGCTACTAGTATTTCTGAATCTCTTTGTAAAGTCTTAGGAGAATTATGAAGGTGAAGTATTCCAGATAATTTTGGAAGGTTAGTGAGTTGTCTCAATTTATTAACTCTATCATCATCTTCTTCAGGGTCTACTGAATTAGATACTAAGATTGTGATAAATTTTATATTGTTTTGGTGGTACTTATTCTTCAAACTTAATAATCTAGAACTCAACTCCAGATCTTCTTCTGGGTTATCTGGTAGTTTGGAAATAGTTATGAATGCAAATGGTAAGTCTTTTAGGTATTTGTCAAACCATTTTCGGGATAAAATCCCATTAGGAAACAAATCAGACTTCAAATTGAAAGGTGAGTTAATCGAGTGTTCAGATTGGTTTCTGTTTTTATGAATACTAATCAACTTATACTGCTCCTCTTCATTGGAAACATATTCTATTATGTATTTAGTGCTCAGAAGTCTATTTTTGATAATTGAATTATCCCAATAACTCTTGGATATGCTTGACTTCTCGAAATTTAACGACAATTGCTTTAGAGCATCTCCTGGAATCAGTTCTGGACGCTCCACGACAATGAGTGGAGCCAATTGCTGTAGAAAGTCCTGGTCATAGAACTCCATTTCCTATTTGTCTATTTGAAATAACCTCAAGTATTCATTGATGTTCATTTGATAAATGTCTTTTTGATTTGGAACCTCGCTGCAACAATACTCCCGTACACCAAAATGAAACTTTTTTTGCCAATTTCATCGATAATAATAGATTAATAATATATCAATCATCTTTCATTTTCAACTAAACACTAACGATGTCTGATCCTATTAATGCAAATCCTACTGTTATAGATGTGACGAACTTACCAACTCGTCTTGAAAGCGGCGAGAATGCTGGTAAACGAGTAGATAAATATCAAGGTATGGTCGATAAAGTGTTGAGCCTTTCACTTTTAAAGCCCAAAAACTTGTCTCCAGTTTCAATATCTAATGAGGTCCCAGGTTTAGTTTCAGATGTTGAGATGGAGGATTCCACAGAAGATGAGTTATCCAGTGATTCAGGAGCTATTGAAGGGGAGGAAGAAGATGAAGCCGAGGAAGAAGATTTGATTGATTCACAAGAGATTTTTGATTTGATTTCAACTATATCTGATCCTGAACATCCCTTAACTTTGGCACAGCTTGCAGTGGTCAACTTATCGGACATTTCATTAAAGCACGGTAAGAATAAAAAGACCGATATATCGGAAGTTTTAATCAAGATTACTCCTACCATCACGCATTGTTCATTAGCTACATTAATTGGTTTAGGAATACGGGTCAGACTAGAAAGATGTTTACCGCCCAGATTCAGAATCCGGATTCTCATTAAGGAAGGTACACACCAGTCTGAGAACCAAGTGAATAAACAATTAAATGATAAAGAAAGAGTGGCAGCAGCTTGCGAGAATGATCAATTACTAACTATTATACTGCAAATGTTGAGCAGTTGCAAATAGGTTTATAAAAGTACATATTTAAATGAACAAAAGAGAAGACTGAAACTTGTTAAGTCTAGACTCTATTAGAATTACACAAGGTATACAGACTGTAATATACAAAGCCTCCAGGAAAGACACTTTGGGAGGATATGAAAAAAGCAAAAAAAGTCAAAAANAAAAGAAAGTGAAAGTAAAAGTTAATAGAAGAAGAATGAATAAATATTTGGATTAAACGCAATTAAAGAAATAAAAGGTAAAGAGGAAAATCATTAATAAAACTTGTGAGAAGAAGGAAAAGTGAAATAGTAGTATAATAAGAAAAGATATGCAAATCATTTGGACCCGTAATCCATTGATTTAAAATACCCATAATCAATAATCATTTGAGAAACATCAATGATGATGAATTTGAAAACGTAATTTTTAACAAATTCGACTAATTTTATCAAATTATGGGAATGAACTGATTTATTTATATTATCTATCATTGAACTAATGATATTAGTTAATCTTTTCAATTGGACATAATATTCTAATTTAATTTTTTGATTTTCTTGTTTTTGAACTGGGGATAAAGTTGGAAATTGAATCATTGGAATTCTTACTGGTTGCATTAGGGATCTTTCATTAAAATCTGGGGTTGTCACGGTTGAACTTGCTCTGCGACGAGAATGAGCAGAATTAGAGGTATTAGTGGTACTAATGCTGTTTCTATTACTATAAGAAAAGCTTGAGTGACCCAGAGTATTAGAATTCAAGGAGCTTGACAGTTCACGATGTTTTTTAATTTTATGATAAAGTTTCAGTTTTGCCAAAAGATTATTTAAAGCTTGTTGTTTTTTACCATCTTCATCAACTGTACCAGGGGATATTTCATTATTGGAAGGAGGATATTCTGAATAAGGAGTTGATATTATACCATTATTATAATTGATATTACTATTAAGATTTTGATTTTGATTTTGATTTGAATTATTACCTAATAAAGTTGAGAATCGTTTGCGAGAAGACATGAAACCACCAGTTAAATTCGAAATTCTTTTATTTGGAGCCGAACTAGAATTAGTTGGGGTTTGAGTTAAAGTATAAGAAAACATATTATTATTTGGATTTGGTGAAGTAGTATTAAAATTTGATTGAGGACTAGTAATTTGATTTCTATTAATTGAAGAATTTGAATTATTATTTGAGTTGAAAAAACTAGTACTTGTGGAAGTTCTTGAAGAGGTTCTCATTAAAGATTTTGAATCATCAAATAAATCATTTTCTTCTAATTCATCTTCCTCTTCTTCTTTTAAAGATAAGTCAATAGTTTTCTGTTTATAATTTGAGATGAATGATTCTCTTACTGGCATTTGTAAAAACTTATAGGCAGTCAATAATTTTTCATAGTAGGATAAGGTAGTTAAATCAATTTCAATTGGTTTGTCATAATTTTGAGAAGATTCTAATTCATTTTCTAACATTAAATTAATTTCTTGTAATAATGAAATTTTAATTTTAACATCTTTAATGGTAACATCCTCTTTTAACCAAAGGTCATTTGGTATAGCAATTCCGGGAAGTATTTCGATTGGTCGTTTCTTTTTCGTTGGCTTCAATGTTGTTGTTGCTATACTATCACTTGAATTATTATTGACCAATTGAGTAATTTTAGCTTCATCTTTTAAATTTAACACTCTGGTAAGAAACAAACATATAAAAGTATACTTTGTCGTTTCAAAAGGAAGGGAAAGACTAAGAGATTTAAAAGTATCAGCCGTAGCATTGGCTGTTTCTTCAATCGTTCCACCAACAGACATAATCACGCGTGCTTAACTTGTTTAAATATCACTAAATATATCAATATAACCACTTAATATCTTTTTTTTATAATCACCTGTACTTATAATCTTTTATAATCACTTATACCTTTTTTTTTTATAACTTATACTTATAAATATCAACCAGAAACAATTCAGATTATTGCTTCTCCAATACTAATCTTCAACGAAAATACTTGGAGGTTGGGAAAGGGGCGTTCTAGCTTGAAAAGACCACTAGCAGGTTGTTGTTAGTTTGTTGATAGTTGATAATTTTTTGTATCAAGGCCAATAAATAAAACAAAAACAAACCAGAAAGCTTTGAAAACTGCACTAAATAAACTGCCAAACCACTGCACCAGGCCAAAGACTGCACCAGGCCAAAGACTGCACTAAAGAAACAAGCACTAAAAAAAGGATTAGCTGCTGTTTTTGCACACGGTTAGAGAAATAAACAAAGAAAACAAAATAAGTTAATAGAGCAGGACAATGGCCGCGAGCTATTGATAGGCGAATATTAAACCGAGCTGATTGCCTAACAAAGGAAACACGAAGACTAGAGTAATGAGCTGAGCAATACCCAAGATGACGGAGTGCCAGTCGTTTATGGAAGAAGGTGAACCAAGTGAAATTGAAAAAGTAAAGTCAAGAGTGAAAGAAATCACAAGATAACTTTAGCAGAGATACGCCAAAACAACTGTCAGGTCGATGTGCCGGTGAATAAACAGAAATATATAACGGTGGTTTGTTCCCAAAACATAAGGCAATTACTTGATTATCCAGCCGCATAAATCATTATCTTTACATATTCGAATCTTACACTGCTATTGCTGCAAGCTATTTTACTTAACCGAGTAGGTTGACCTTTATTTTGCACTACAAAACCAGGTATTCTTCAAAGTATTATTGGAGAATAGAAGGACCACTGGGGGAGGGGGCAAGTCACAAACGCTTATGCATCTCTAATGAGACTCCTAACCTCAGAGGAAAGTCTCTTTGTTAGTCTGTCTTCGTGTAATGCCGTCTTATAGAAATTTTGTTCATTAGGATTTCTAGGTTCGTGTAAACCTTACTTAAACGATTGATACCCACCCAGGTATCAAGGCGTATCCCGGCGCCTCCTTCTCTAGTGCTTTTTCTCTCGTTTTGTTCGTCTCATCCTTTCCATGCCGGTCGTAGCATTGGGTTGTATGTACCTTACTCTGTTGCAAGTCCTTATTTGATCTGCTACCGAGTGAAAAATTTTCTTTTAAAACGGTGTACTCTGGTGCACGGGTGTAATGTTCGAAAAAAAAATGCACGGGTGTAATGTACGGGTGTTTATCTTGGTTTCTTTCGTAGATAAAAATCCCGCCAGCGGGAAACCTGGAGAAGTAGATTGGTTATCCAGCAATGTTTTCATCTAAAAAGCCCAAGTTTAGTCTCAACTTGACTATCAACGAGTTGTCCAACATCCCCCAGATCAGCGGGTCCTGCTTCATCGAGTTGCAAATCAAGGATGCCCGTCGGGGGTTTAGCGGATTGAAAACATTCAAAACTCATACTCCTTCTAGTGATAAGGAGTCCAAGACGGATTCGACAGCTAGCGAACACTCGCTCCTTCCTCATTCAGACACCAGCTCTTCGTCGGCCTCGTCCGGCTCTGGTAATATCTCGGTGACAACCTCCACCAAGAAGATCCACAACTTTAAATGCTTATTCAATTATCAATTGAGCTGTAACTTGAAATTTCCTTTTAAGAAAAGAGAAAATTTGATTGCTAATAAATATTTGATTTTAAGGGTTTTCTTTATAAATGAAAAAATGCTGTCTGAAACGCAGAATTCAAATCATCATCATAAAGGTGAAACCATTGAGTTAGGTAAAATTGACATTAACTTATCGGAATATCTTAATTTTGATGAATCAGTCACTTCAAAATACTTATTAAAAGATTCAAAAGTTAATCTGATTCTCAGTTTATCTATTCAATTAAAAGAACTACCTTTGAATTATGATTTCCATACTCAATTACAGATTAATGATACTCATTCTTCTAATAACAATCATCAGTTCGAACCTCGAAAACCAACTAACTTAAACTCCTCGGCAACAACTAGGTTCAATGTACCTCAGTTTGAAAGGAAAAACGTTTTTGGCGGATTGGATGATGTAATTCATTCTCCCTCGGAGTCTTCCTTGAGTAAACAACCCCCTCCTCCTAATCTGAAATTTCAAAATCCGGCTCTGCCAACTTCTTCATTTTCAAGTGATGATACTCCTTCTACCAACCCTTCGAAATCAGATACTCCTTCAAGAAAATCGTCCTTATCAAAATTGCGTCCTCATAATTTGAATGGTAATAATAATGGAAACGGTTCAATTTCATCTTCTTTGATGAAAGATTCAAATAATCATCAAAATTTAATAAATAATCATCAAAGTCTCAACAGTAACGTGATTATGGATCCGATAATAAGTAACCTTTATAAAAAAATCTTGGAATCAACTTGGGATCCTCAATTACATAGCTTACTAAATTATCCGCCTGAACAATGTATCGATGATATTTTCAATAAATCTGAAAAAGAATTTAGTGAAAAATTCGATAATTGGAAGAAACTGGTTTCTTCTAATGATAATGATGATGATGATTTGAAAGAAATTAATGGCTTAATTAATGAAATTAAATACAGAGATGATTTACGTAGTTGGGTCGTCGGTGGTGAATCTTAAGTTTATTTTAATGTATTATTATATTTATTCGTTCTACTTTTGAAATTGTAATAGCCAACTTTTCTTTTCTCTTGAAAAAAGATTGAAACCCGATTCGTTTCGCTTTGATAATCTAAATTTTTTGCTAAGTCGAGCTGGATTTCTACCGCTAAGATCGTTTGTCAATGTTCTACCTAGCACTGAGTTCTTGGAAGGAGCCGGTAATGAAATTGAATGTAAGATTTTTGATGGTTCCACATGTTTCAAATCTTGGGGTTTCAATGAATCCTGAACTATATCATTGAATGAATTTTCATCATTTTCATCGCTTTCGTCACTTTTAATAATGCCAATATTTCTTTCTCTCGTCCCCATTTCAAGTATATCAGGATGAATTTCACTTAACTCCTCCAACAATTCATCTAGCTCCTCGTTCCATGTGCTGTAATATTTTTTTCTACTGAACACATAATTGTATTCATTGCTTTGGAAAGTGTTATTATATTTAGTTATAAAATCGTTTTCCTCTTCGTCTCTTAAACTAATTTTCGAAAAATTGTGGAACCACTCAACATTTCGACGATTAATTACAGAACCAGCTAAACACGACAGGTAAAAGGGCATATGCTGACAATTGCGACAAGTTGAACATGTAGATGTATGTCTCCACGATGTTGCACATCTTTTGAATCTGATATCTTTATATCCTTTATATTTACCTCTTGTTATTATATTACCATTGAGGGTTTTCATGTCTGACTAGCAAAGTTTATTGATACAGTAGCAAAGAGTCCTAGGATTGTTGAAGGTAGCAATTCTTTGGAGAGTATTGGGCCAATTCTATGAATAAGAATTTTTTTTGCAACATTTGTAATTTTGCAATTTTTCTGTGGTCAAGCGCCTAAAGATACAAAATTAAAAAAGAACAAAAATATCCAACCTATCCAATATTAATTATAATACAAAATTAGTTTATATAATGGTGTAAGAGTCATTAGAAGGTAGAATAAGACAGATGGTTAATGGCTCAATGCCATCAAGAGTTATTAAAAAAAAGGACCAAAAAAAAAAAAAAAAAAAAAAAAAAAA